GCTTGAAATGAAAATTTGGGTGAAGATTATTTGAACTATAAAAAATGAGATAATAATAATAATAATAATAAAACGATGCGTGTTAATAACTTAACTTATAGGTAGTAATTATTTTGTGTTTAGAAATATTAAAATAATGAATATTGTAGAAATGTTAATATTGGTATTAGTTTTGGTTTAAATTATGAAATCGGATAACGATTATGCCGGTAAGTTGTCCATAAGAGTTGAATTCCAATTGCATCTGTATTAGTAGGCTAACTGAAGGAACAAAAGTATACCGTGGGGAAGAATTTCAACTAGTGTTCCAGTTAGTTTGATACGGTTTATTTAGTTACGGGGAGATTTTCTCAACCTCATTTTTACTTGACCGTGATAGAATTTAGTAATACTACTAATACACATGAATGTTCATCAAAACAAAATTTAACTACATGAGTAATAATTATATGGATTTTGGACAGATAGCTAGGAAAAATCGTTAAACATGAGTGTGTTCGTAAGAGACATGCTCTAGACTCAATGTTCTGAGTTGCCATAGACTATTTATACATATCTATACTTGCCGGGTGATGGGCATACAAGTTACTTGCACGTATGCGGGCAGAATACGATTTAAATGAGATATGGTGATTATAAGTTACTGAAATCAGTTAAGCCTGTGTCACATTACTAAGTGATGTGGTACTGTAAGATGTACTCGGCCAAATACGTTTTTACAAGACGATTAACCATGAGTGATGCTCATGTGATTATCAGGGAGTACATAAGTTGTAACCAAGGGGAGTACACTCCCAACTCATGTCTATGATAATGGCTTGAACCTTAGTCAGTGTTGGGGTAAATTCGACATTAATGTTTTCAGTTTGCAGGAGATTTGCTCGACTGCTTATACTGATTATTTGCATGCATGATTGTGTCGCTAAACCATCAATTAGACTGACAAGGTTTTGAGATATTTACTGAATGAGCAACTAATAGAGAAACATACTGTAATCATCTGTGATGGATGAAGATACCAAGAAAACAACACCATTTAATGGTAATTATAGGTCAATTTGTTGACCGATTTCGTTATTAGTTTCATTAATTTTATAAGTCATATTACGTGATTGTCAAGTTATGACAATGCTTTATGACGATATCCTGAAACTATTAAATTTAACTAGTTATAGTGTTGACTGAGGATTAGTCAGTGGAAAAATAGGTATTTTTGCTTTAGGTGATTCGAACTCATCAAAAACTTATAACGTTAAAGAATCCGAGACGTCTGATTTAATTATAAATTTCAATTCAGAAAGATTCGTTTAGTGTTAATTCTAGTAGGCTACGCAGTTTTGATTTTAAACGTTTGTTTAGCCAACAGCTACCTAAATTTTTAATCTTATTATCTAAACTATGTTCGCATTTTAGGCTGCTAATATGATAAACCAATCCATAAACCCAAATACGATTAGCAACAACGACTATGATGGGTTTATTGATAAATGTTAAAGGCGATTCAGATGATTTCTAAATTTAGAAGACATGGAGATATAGTGTAACGTATGTATGGGCCAGGTTAACATGCAGGTTGTTGACGTATATGACGATTTAAAAATAATGAACATGACCAGAAAATAGTTCTAAAGTTTAGACTGCTTGTGAAACTTCAGGCAGGAATATGATGCGTTATAAACATTCCATAAGGAGTTACTGCATTTAGCCTAGGAACAATTACAAATATATAGCAAAAGGAACCGGAAAACATATACATGTTAAGTAAAAAAAAGAATTGTCATCCAGTAAAATAGTTGAACTCGCCTGGATTATTTTGGAAAATTAGATTATTCAGTGGACGACATATATAACGCCATTCGTGAGGAGTAGTAATGATCCAAAAGCATCCAGAATAAAACATACAGTATGGCAATCACTTCCAGGGTGCTTGATGCTGTTGAGGTCTTTGGGACTCGCTCTGATCAGAACAACTGAATGAATCCAGATAATTGTGTGTGCCATCTAAAATGAACTTATGATTGCAGAAAACGTATAGCTGGAACTCACCGTATGTTTTTGGAGTAGTCATCCTCGTTGTTTGGCAATGGAACTCGAGAATATGAAATTAGGCAGGCAGTGGTCGGAAGAAAAGATATTACAGGATAGTGTATAGTTTAAAACAGGATGAGGTAATAAGATAAGGAACACTGAATATTAGATCCAGATAACTATTTAGTCCTTGATCGCATTGTTAGTCAATGTATATTTACGCTATTTACAGGTCATATTTGCTAGAGCTTGATGTTTAAACAAGACTATGTCGCTGAAGCATGTAAATGCTATTACAGCTTGTTAACAAATCATCAAAGCTAATTAGTTAATATAGACGACCAGTTTTTATTATCGATTGAGCTAGTTTGTCATGAGCACTAATCAATATAACATTACGATAATGCATGTGAGCATTAATCAGAGGACTATTGGAATACAGGGTTAACATAAATATAAAATCGATCGAGAAAGTTGAAGTGGAAATAAGGATTAATAATAATAGGTTGCGTTTCTTTAGTTGGGCTCACCAATGTAGAACTATGGTCTACTATGATATTAGTACTGCTCTAATAATAGACCTAATCCCAAAATTGTAGATTCGTCATGATATAACTGCCTAATCTATAAGATCTTACGTGGAAGTCACACCATTGACTACACCAACTCACTGTATCGTATTAATTACCAATACCTGATGAGGAACAAGGTTAGGATAGAGAAAGAACAATATATTTAATATGAATGAGATATAGGATAACATCCAGCAGGGACCACGCCTGCATGGCCGAGCCATGCCACTCGATCAACCCCAGTCCATTCAATTCATTGTTCGCGCCTTCTCCATTGTTAGGTATTTCTCCGCGTTAAATATTGAATATCTATTTCCTGAGTAGTCTCGTGTTCACAGCTTTGTGGATTGTGTGGCTATTGTCCAGTGCCACTACAAATCTATGGTAGATACAACATTTACAACTAACTCTTAACGACCGCAGCTGTTATTTGATCAGTGCGATACAGCTTGTGTGCGAATATGAACTTGCCATCACCGTGATCTAACTCAACTGTTGAATTATAATCTACTAGATAGAGACCAGTATTCGCTCACAATCAATGACCACGGAGTATAAAATCGATTCAGAATAATCGGATCAAATCTTATTAGTCTGATCTGATAGAAAAATTATCACATAGAAATCTAGCACACGAAGACTTGACGTGTGCTACACATGGAACGGAAGCATAATTGCGAAGTGTTAGCAATCTCGTATGCACAATAGCTTGTCTATAGAGCGAAAACATTTTCGCAAATCTATCTCCAAACAATCGAAAGCCCTTTAAAACGGATATGCCAGACGATACTGGAAGTCAAACCCTTAGAATTCTTAACCTGTCTCAATGCAAATGAAGGCGATTAATATCTCCTTACAACCCTATCGTCCAAATATCAAATACATTATTCCGTCGGCAAGACTGTCATCCTTCTTCAAAGATTTTGACAAATCAGGATACTCTGACTGTCACAACTGAGGAGATTTGGTTAGAAATGACGTGATATCGATGCAAAAACATATGGATTCGACATCCGTATTGTGGCTAGTCAACAGTATTCGATTAGGTCTATTGACCTAGTAGCATAAATACGTTTATTAATAGTGACCGTTTTCCTGAAAATCAGCTATCCATACCAATAAGAAAGAACTGTACCAGACCAACATGGTGTCAAAAGCCAGTCTGCCAATGATACTCTTCGTGGCGAAATCTCTCTCTAGAATGTTAGGTGACCTGAAATTTCAACGATTTGAGAATCTTAAGGCCTATCCAAATAAATTTACTCCATATTATTATCTCGACCATATGGCATATTGGAATAAGTTCAGAAAAGAGCTACGAGAGGTCACTAAAATTAGCTAATAAAACATCTACATTTTGATACGCAAAGCAATATGATTTCTGAAATATGTCGAGGAAGACAGAACACATTTTCAAATCGAATAAGACTCATAACCAGTTAATAATAATGTGCATCATCTAGTTTTAAACGTCGAATATGACAACTACCGACCGAATAAAACACTAATTTGGACAGTAGTACTTCTGCATGTTGCAGCTCAATGAGCACATTCAAGTATAACACACACAAGCTAAGTTAAACGAATCATGTAAATGATGAATTTACTTGATCTTAGCCCCAAAATGGTAGCTTTTAGTGATAAGCATGATTTAGTGCCACTGTAAAATTCAGTGTTGACATCAGAATTGTTAAACGTTAATTTATAATTGATCATGTTATTGACATATCAAGGGATGAACTTATAAGACATACAAATACAGATACGAGAGCCAATTAAACATAGCAAATAAATTAATGATACACTGCTGACTTCTGTTAGTACTTTATACCTCGCTCTTTTACACTCCAAACGAATTTACTAGATACCTTAGAAGACATCTACATCTAAAAACCCAAATCATATTTTTCAAGGTAAAAATATCCTGCTCATTGTGATAACACCCGATTTTGTGATACTCAATACTAGTAAACCGGTTTGTCAAAACTGTCTCAATGTGACCATCTTACCAGTCTTTAAAATTAAAATGTGTGAACTTATTACGAACTATTATATTGAAATAGAAATACGAATGGTGCGTTACCCAATCTCCGGAGGCATACCAAAAATAGGTACTCTCGTAAGTCACTAACTCTTGAAAACCTAACACTTTGGAATCCGAACAGATCATGCTTGTTAAAGACTGACCTGTCGATTCACCATTTGACAAACTTAATACACCAACAGTATACAACACAGCAGAAATGTCACAGGACTCTACATCAAACTCATGATGCTACAAACATTGAGTATGTTAAATAATGACACCCTCATCCCCAGGCTCTTTCATGTTCATTGACAATAAAGATCAGTTGAAATAACCATAAAGAAACTGTTGGCAGGACAAACCAAGTAAATGAATTGATTTGCGCTTAACGTTTATTTTTAAAGTAACTGATGAGTGGCGGGTAAATGGTAACCAGAAAAGGTTCAATGGACACATCAAATTTTTTTTAAACTAGAAAGTACAGTAGTAATTTAGGGTTCTAATTATATTACTTTTGAGAAATACAACATATGATGAAATATACCACTTAAATACAAAGGGAGATACCAATAATATTTCACAAATGCGTGTATGTCAGCTAGTTTAGGAAGAAGAGAAAATCATAAATAGCTTTAGGAACATATAGAAGTCGAATTATTCAATGAAGTTGAGGAGGTACGAAGGAATTTTTGGAAAAAAACTATGAAGACATTTTACGTTGATCAAATAACACGAGATCTAACCGACATAATGTACAGTGTGACTGATATCATAGTAATATATTGTTCGAGTCATCCTTGGAAGAAGTAGAACTTTCAATACGAGGACGCTTGAACGAGTTTTGTGAGTTTCCAGTGCTACTGGTCACTGAAAATTTGGAGAGCGGATCAAGAAGATCTAAGGAAAAAATAAAGGTATATATATCGTTATAATCCAGTAGTACGTAGAATGGGGAAGTTAACAAAAAGTGAAAATATCAAAGATATACAAAGCCAAACAGATTCAAACAGAAAAAAACCAAGTGACATTCTGGTAAAAGCTGGTCACCAGCATAGATGTGGATACTGGAAGAGAAGTCAAGTACATCCTGAAGCAATTAACACTGACCTTATAAGCATAAATCAGTAATTGCGTTCTAATTTTGGCCAATCGTATTTAATAAAGACACATAAAATCCTAGACGGTAGTTCTTGGGGCTTTCTAAGATAGTCGGCTATCACCATGAAGCGTACCAACACTTTAGTCTGAAGATTATTCTCCCCATAGCAGTATTTATCCGGATTTTCCTGATTAACGATTATGTAGTGGGGTTGGTAACCCTGTGCCCAACTCTTCTTCTTCAATTGGGCTTGTGACTGGCATTAGCCCCAAAAGGGTTCCTTTGAACGCTAAAAGTCACTAAATTTAATTTGAAAATTTATGTACATCTATATTTGAAAAGAACGATACGTGATAAACGTACTTATGATCTGTACAGCATCCTGAAAGACATTGAATGGATCCCGATTGATTGATTCATCATGATAATCAGTAGAATTACAGACACGGTTATTCGCTACTTGATAACTAGGTAGTATGCGATGATGACGCTTTCTTCTCTGGGTCAATCCATCACAAACTAATTGTGAAATGCTTGAATGATTGACGAATGAACTGATAGGGGGTATGAAAGCTGTGAATGAAAAGGTAACACATAATAACCTTGTTTAAAATTAATTGAGTTATTTTATATTACCGGATAGCTTATTTAGTAGTAAAAGTAATAACCATGATCAATAGGACTTGACAATCATGTTTATACTGATGTACTGGCTTTGTAGATAATTTAGTTGTAATACCGAGAGGATTTGGCAGAACTAAGTCAACACAGCACGTTAACTTTGTCAAAATTATTATATTACAAAAGTGAAATTCATAACCAACAGAAATTTAATAAAAAAAGTGTAGATTTTGATGCAGCGTTCTTAAGATTATCGTATGTTATAGTGAAATTTCCAAGTTATTATGGAGTCATGGTAATGGGGTAACTGCATCAAACAATAACATAAACTCTCTTTCCAAACATTATTGTGAATAGTTTCCAGTTAATCATACATGTAATTATTAGATGTTACACTTTTGCTAACAACAGACACGTAAATCTTCAGTTTTAACACAAAATAAACATAAAATCGGTAAATAAACACGGTTGAATTAAAAAAAGCATATAATATAAACAACCATTTAAAAATACAGAAAACTCATTAATCTAATCTACTGAGAGAAAAACACTGTTAAACTAAAAAAAAGCATCTCACTACTTTATAGTATCCATGAGCATTAAGTATCATGGATTCTAAAACAATGCCAATTTAGTTAGTAAAAAAATTTTTTTAACAACAAATTAAATTCTCCTTCTCGTTTATTTAAATGTTTTTATAACATTCCACTCGTTGAAATTCTAATTAATTATCTTTAATAATTTTGTTTAATGATGCTGCACTCTTTAACTTTATAATAGACTTCCGCATATACAATTAACTATGAATACGACTACACAATTTAAGAACATCAAATGATGGAATAAAAACTTAAAAATTTGGTTACCATTAAGTAAATCCATGAGCTAGGTAAGCAAAAAATGGGATAAAATTATTTGATTCGATCATCGGGATACTATGATGTGAAAAGACCATTTACTAAGAATCTATTTCATGAAAGGAAACTGAGTAAGTTTTACGTTTCTGCTCGACCAATAAAATTTTTTATTTTGTGTAAACAAGAAGTTTGTGATGGATAAATCAGTCTGTTTTTGACGTGCATTGAGTTCTGAATAATTAGTGATTGAAGTAATAAAAAACTCACAAATAATTATGAATACAACCTATGGAGTGAACGTGACAAATTTGCTTATTATTTTTTATCGTCGCGCAATCTTACCAACCGAAAAATAACTACCAAAAAAGAGTAGGTAAGGTGGTAACAGTTTTAGGTACATGGTAGATACGATTAAAAAAAAGTTCAAGATAAGCAAATTAGTAATTATTGAAATTAAAATTCAGAACGTTTAAAGTGAGACTGAAAAATATTCAAGTTAATTTATGGGTTCAAACTATACGGTATGAAGCAATATATGTAGCATCGAAGGTGATCGTAACACATTCATCAGAACAAGCTACTTTGGATAAAGTGAGCTATTTTAAGATCAGTATAGGGTTGTAGAAATTGTTGAGTTTCATTGATATCATGAACCGATCTAAGTTAGATAACTACTGTAAACTTGGGAGCACTAAACAGTTGTTTCACCCTATTATTGAACTCCTCAGGAGGAATAACGTTAAAAAAAATGTGGTTTAAATTTACTGATCATATCTGCTTCTGCATCAATGGTAAATTTTTCATAACTTCTCCCTTTACACTATTAAAACCTATCGTTCAATAATATTAATAAATTTAAAAGTGAAGCAGTCGATTATCGTTTTAAGATAGATATAAATGCCAGTAGTTTGTTCAGTGTTTACTTAATAGAAAGTCCTAGCGATTACGTTATCATTGGTTTAGATTCAGCTTCGAACGTGGTTACATTTAGAGATCATGTTTCCTAAAATCCTGTTTCTTTGTATTATTGGGAGAAAATATGATGCACCTGGAGGTATTGGGCACATTTTGATAATACTTGAACCGACCACTATCTATTTAATATCTGTGGCCATGCCTTAGAAAATACCGTTAATATTTATGAAAAAAACAACAGCCGTTATCACGTCAACCTTTCAGATGTGCGCATCCATGACTCCGTAATCGAGGGTTGAAATCCAAGACTTTCGGTCTTGCATACGAACACTTAACCTCTAGACCACCAAATCGGTATTCAGTGGCGTACAAGCCAAAATTCAGTCGATTCACGATATTGTGCGACCATGCTCAATTGCCTTCAGTGGTTAACATAACTAATACTTTCAGGTTTTTTAAAACTGTCGAGTTGGTTTTTTGACAACGTAAACAAATTTCCACTACTCTATGAAACGACTATTTATATGATAAGCAAATAACCCCGCGTCCTGGTAATGTCTTTCCGAATAGTATGCTGATTCAAGAACATGGTAAAAGTGGGTAGATCATTCGAAATTTTATAGCTGTTGGTTTGGATAAAAAGGAACTTATCTAATTAAGAAACAGTTATAATAACCGAAAACGAATTTGAAGAACAACCAAACAATTGATGGGTCTTTAATAACAGATGAATGTTACCTACCTAATTACTGAAAAAATAATTAGATCCAAGAATAATCATTAAAGATATTATTGGACATGTCTGCCATCAGCCAAGGAGTTAAGTCAATGTAATTAAGAAAAACAAGAAAAAAAGGTAAAGAATACCGTCCGAAATAAAAGTTGTCGACTGCACAGATGATTGTTATGACCTGGAGTACGTCATCTTCCATATAACACTATTACATGCACAACAGAAACCCTTAAACATGATTATAAACGTGCTTTATAATTCCATCTAAACAGGGATAATAAATTTATGTTCAAGAAGTATATGCGTGTTACCCTCGTGGATCCTACTGTCGAACCATTAGCTCTTAAACAGCCTAAACGATTTAGAGCCGAACAAAATGAGAGAATATGTGTTACTCACGAACTTGCTTAATGAATCCGACAGTGATATATTAAATAAATACACAAACTAAGTTGCACAAGAAATATGTTGAAAAAAAGAAACAGTTTAAAGATAGTCACAGATTTTACTGATCCCCAATTAAATACCATAAACTAACTGACAGATGTACTGAACATGAAATCCATAAATTTTAGATTAAAAGCGGCTATATTTAATAGTTAATTAATTTGTCTTTTCTATGTACAGCGTTACATCTCATTAGAATAGTAGTTTTTAAATCATTCATTCATAAGACGTGGAAGGAATAATTTAAATTTTTTATAATGATAATTTTAATCCAGCGCTACCGTGTACATTTCCATTATTTTCTACTTTATAAGCTTGAAATTGTTATAGATTAGAATTTTAAGATTTCTAACTGAAAACGTTTGAGGATTGTTAGATTAATGGATACAACGTGTCAATCGATTGGTAATATATTATGATGCGATGTGTCCGAGTGATTGTTAACGAACCTGATTATTGACTCACTCTCTCCGAATGAATTAATATCAAAGATAAGACAACCAACTACCAGAATAGAATTACTCAATCTACTAAAATAACGTGTTCATACATGAGATAATAACACAAAGATAAATATGACTAGATGTTATGAACAATTAACCAATATCATTTTTGTGAGTTACGCACTCTCCTGACTATCACGACTAATTTTTGGTGCGTCATAATAATTTATGCTACAAGGGAGTTTTTCAAACATTGTTACTATGTCATTTATTTAAATAGACCTATTGTATTAGAGCTACGAAAAATATAACTTCAGTATGAAGTGGATTGACAAACACTTACATGAATAAAACGTTTTCAGTAACCTACGTTAAATAGTATGAGTTCATAAATTAAAATATTGAAAAGTACTTGGTAATGGGTAAGTTTGAAATACATGTTTTATTCGCATAATACTGTAGAATTTAATTAAAAACAATATAAAAAGGTCATTGTAACGATCTTATTAGCTAAAAAGGGCTTATGGTTTCATTAGTATACTCAATAAATAAAAGATCATTAGATCTTACTTAAATCTAGGACACTAACAGCTAATTATTAAATCTGAAAAGTAACATAGAGCAACTGGTAAAACACCCAGAGAAATCAGTTTCTTGAGCAATTGTTTTTGAATTCTTTTAGTTAATAAAGCGTAGATTAGGACGAAAAGATGAAATTAAACTGATAGACTACTTATTATACCAACAGAGTAAAAATAGTGGTACTGACAGAAGTAGAGGTTTGAAAACATAAGAAGCGTATAGACCAGAAGGATGTTTAAATAATAAATATATCTTCACTTTTGTGGGATTTATAAAATCTCTTCTCCAATTATTAGTTAGAACTGTCTCATGAATACCGGCTAGAAAGCCTATATGGTTCACACCTAATAAATTGATATCATACCTTAATCAGGCTACACTTAATTTATTTACAACGGATAATAGGATACTAAAAAGTGTATCACATAGACTTATCAAGCATAGTCAGAAAATACGTGCCTGGAAAAATGCTATAACTACCAGCGTTGATGAATGACCATATATTTATAGACTGAATAAAAACCGTTGACTAGTTTTACAATTGATGGCAAAACACTTTACACAATAGCTTTAATAAAAAGCAACGCCATATAACAAGTACTTATGGCCAAATACCTGTAATATATCCATGTTTTCTTGCTTTTTACTGACAAATTGATAGAGTAAACAGCATCCCAGTCAACTTCACTAATAATAGGTGGGAAAACATTTCGTTTCAACGGTTGAAACTAATAGGGCACCAAGAAAGGAACACATAAACGAAAGCTCCCTGTAAAACCACGTGATAGTGGTGAAAGTGAAGATGGATGTGGAAAATTACATACAGTTTATGGCTTCTAGTTTGCCATTAGTATTTACAGAATGGAAGTTAGATAGATTGTCATGACCGACGTATCTAAAAGGTTTCTTAGAACATTACCGTGAGTTTTATTTTGGCTAATTATTATTCTGTACTGGTACAGATAACGAAAACATCCAAGCCTCCACTTTTCAACAAGTATAAGTATATAGTATACATGACCATCTAGTTTAAAGCTTGCACCTGGGATATGAGAACCCTAAGCACATCCATTTCTCCTACTTTCAGTTATAGAGCTCCTAACAATTTTTCTTATGGCTGTTATTTTTCTCTAAACCATATGATAAAGCAAATGAGTCCGAGACTGCTGTGATCAAATCAATATATCTAACAATATTAAATATGAGCACAAACGAATCCTTGGAAGTAGTTAGAATGAGTAGACAGTTAACGTTTTACAACATAAAAGTAAGAAATGTCAAGTTTTAGACGTAAAAGAGAAAAATTATAACGGTGATAACAGAGCAAACAGAAGTGGTAATATTGCTAATAACCACGAAATGTAATGTTGTATACCTTTTGATGCCGATAACGAACTAGGCACTATCGACTTTACTACTTCATCGTTGTGTCTGATAGATCCATCTCCATTGAGACCATCAATGACGCCATACAAATTTGAATCATCTAAGACGGTGTTCATAACAGGAAAGAATGCTCGTTTGTTTTTAGAGCATCTATTACGACAACGCTTGTGACCGCAATAGTCCAAAGCAATTCTCTTAGATAAACGAGGACAATAAACACAATGGCGTGGACGCTTTCTTTGGAGTTTCCTGGAACGACCAAGTGTTTTAGTGCTCCCAAGCAATAATGATTCCAAAGGCACATAAACTTCAACCCCATTGTCCCCTGTAGTAGTTTGAATATTCTCATAAGCTAAATCTCTCAAATGAAGGCGTAGATATTGAGAACCGACAATTTTTCCATAGCTTAGTGCAGCTTCTACAGAATTCTCAGATCCTAAAGTAGTAAAAGATTGTGAAGTTCAGGCATATTACATTCGATAATAAGAGAAGCATTAATGAACGGTTAGTATAAAGTCATTGTTCTACATGCGTTGTAATGAAAAACTATAGTGGTTTTAAATAAATGAAACCACAAGCTTTTCACAGCGAATTTAGATATTAGAAACATCAGTGAGTAACCCATTAACCACGTGCAAATCTATGTTAGATTAATAGTTAGTAGTGTGACTAAGGATATGAAATTATCTGCAATAAGTGAAATAAGAGCTTCATGAAAATAACTAGTATTCGTTTAAGGAGTCGAATCAGCTCTAAAGATTTTAACATTGGGTGATGCGAAGAGAGAAGGCTTAGAAATTACAAGTATATTCCTTATATCAAGAACTATTTACTAGGAACAGATGTTCGAACCTGAAATTTGTGATGTCGTTCAGGATAACGATGAAAGCTCCACGGCCAAACCATCCAGCTCAGAGAACAAAACTCCATCAAAATCACCCACTCTAGCTAAAAGTCTTTTCCACCATCTCAAAATCGCATGAGCGTAGTACTTTAGTTTGGGCTACTAAAAAACATTATTAACTTGGTGGATACGTTACTTAGGTTATTTTTCATTCAATTAAAATCAGAACAATGTTTTACGATAGGAAATGATTACTTGAGTCAGAATATTAAATTGCAAAGAAGTACCATCTTGTACGATTTATACTCGTTTTTAGATATGATTTAAGGTAATAGGGAATGCTAGTTGCCGTGGTTCGACTTTAAACTTAGTTTACACGGATTTATGAGTTAGAAAATACTAAATTTAGTAAAAATATGTACCGATTATCGGGTAGAATCATCCTCCAAGGACATGGGTAGGAGCCACGCTTTAAGTCCGCAGGGTGACAATGCCCTCCGGTTGCCCAAACAGAGGTAGATAGGCGCGGGTTTTAACCTAAGGTCGTAGTGGTTGAATGTCGAACCCCTTAAACACTAAGCCATTGCTCTACAATCACTGGATAGAGGGTGGGAACAATACACTTCAGTCAATTTGACTAGTGTATTTCATGGGCTTATCGCATCATGACTCATTTTGTCATCTACAATCTTATTCATTTACTTGTTCTGTTTTGATGCATCTATGGGTTCTTTCTGTAATCATAGATCTAATGACACGAAGCAATATAATGTATGGGGCATTCGTAGTTGATTTAATAGAGACCTAAAAACAGAAGCCAACGTTACAACTAATTCCAGGAAATGGGGATCTAGCATTGATTCTTTGAGATGAACAAAATACGTTTGAAGAGAATTCCTTTGAATTTTCACTAGGTTTTTTTCTGACATGATATTTTTGAGACGGACTACAAATACAAGATAGAAATAACACTGGAGGTTTATATACCTTGGATACGAGAATTAAAGCATGAGTGCAACTGAAGTGGTTATCGACAATCAGCAAAGAGTGAAAGAAACATCGTAAAGCGCCGTATATATTTGTGCGCAACACAAAACGCATAAAACATCACTGAGAAATATATATTGTGGAGCGTCCATGGTGATCGAAATAGTTCGCAATCATAAAATGGAAAACTAGTTTGTCAAACGAATTGAAACCATAAAGTCACACTGGGTTTTAAAAGATTTTACAAGCAGAGAACAGCGAGCATTGCGTAATTATACTTTATGGTCCTAAAACTACCGTCGTAGTGTGGAACGTTCCTTAGATATATAGTTTTGGGATGTGATGACGTAAATACATTTGATTCACGAACGTTCCTCAGATATATGGTTTCGGGATGTGATGACGTAACTACATTTGACTGTCACGAACACAGTAGAGCTCTCAAGCGATAAGGTATGTTTTTCTATGAACTAGTAATCTTTTAAGACCGTGACGACACTGTTAGTTTTCAAGCATCCTGACGATGAAAAACTTATGAGATAACTGGTAACGTTGATGATAATTATCTCATAATCTGTTGTTGTTTGATGGAGACAGAACAGGAGAGCTATATTCTTACTTTATTGAATGTATTTATCAACACATTCAAGGGACAATCTTAGATGCCAGATACAATAAGCTTAGGAATACTAGGAATTTTTGTTCAGTAAAATGCTTGAAAACCATGTGGTCGATGCGACGCTTGCACAGCCAACTCTTTACCAAGACAGATTAATACACACACAATAGTGGAAGACAAACCTCTATAGAACCTTTCAATCGAAGACAGCGTATCCAGTAAATTTTGAAAATCAGCACAGTGATCAATTTTGCCTACAAAGTATTACTGACTTCGAATTCAGATTATACCTTTATATAATTGGCATAAACCGCTTGCAGCACTTGCAAAAAATTCCCATACTTTTATAATTAGTCTGCTGGGATCATGATCCTGCGGAGTATCACAGTTGGAAGCCATACAGGGAAAAAATACCGAAGTTGGCACAGCTCGAAATCACATAATTTTGATTGGATTAAACAAAGTAAGGTGTACGGTTATTTGCATTTATATTATCTACTTGTAAAAGATGCCAAGTTTCATTTTTAACAATCATCATTAGTGAATACTTGAGAACTAAATCATGATGTGCATTAGTTATTAAAATTTGTTGAACCTTTAGTTAATGTATAGAGCTTTTGGCTACAAGTATGTTCATTCGTTGAAATTCGACTCTTAGTTTGGCTTGACAGGACCAGGTTTTTGATAACTTAAGTGTAATCACGGATGCAGGGAGGTAGGTTATTCATTACTTTTAGAAACTAAGAGGCAAAATAATTTGGTTAATAATAGAAATGATAGACTAGTAACGCTCTGAAAGATGTCCGTTAGTACCTACAGGGCTAAAATTATTGTGGATCCTTCATTTAAAAGATTCAACAGAGGATATCATCACTACAGTTCACCGCAGATAATTTCATAACTGATGATTCCTTTGTACTTGATTGCCCGCTTATTACGAATTCAAGATATAGTACGTTCATTAGTAATAATCTAATCTTATCTCTCTTGAAATGTGTCATTTCGGGAATTCTTAGACTGAACATTAGTCCGAATACTTCTAGTTATCACACTGACATCGCGTTGGAATCGAATCTTTGACAGTTGGATAATAATCCAAGCTGGGATGACTTTGAAAACTAGATAGAGCGACTTGAAGCTTGCTGAATGACTGGAAAAGATATTAAAGATACTAAGTTCACAGCCTACTATCCGAGATTCATCGGAAAAGAAACTTACCACTTGCTGAAGGATCAGGCTTTTCCAGAAGAACCAATTTCTTTGTCTTATGAATCTTTCAAGGAATTACTATTTCACAGATTGAAATCATGAGTCAGTTGAAGCTAGACCACCATTGAAAACCTGGAAGCTTCAACTGACTCATGATTTCAATCTGTGAAATTTCTAAAATCTTCACAAAACCCATTCTGATAATAATTACTATTTCGTCATGTGCAGTCAGCTTTGAATGCAGAGAGAGCAAAGTCTCATTAAACGAAGTGACAAATGATCAAAACGTTATAGACTTTAAACTTGAACTGAAGAAAGACGCCGCGAAGTGGAATTTTGGAGAAAAATCGGAAACTCGACTTCATGATCAAGAGATTGCTGGTATAAATATTCAAGGAATTAAAACTACGAGGCAGTAACTGAAGTTGATTTTCAGTCTGTGAAAATCTGTAATACTTTGATCTGTGGTTAGCACATTAATTGGAATATTTCTAATAGCAATAAATGTCTTTCGTGTTACATCTCTGTTAGAAGTCCTCTTAAGTGCAGTTTAATACTGAAATATTCCTCAGGTAGTAGATTACTGAGAATATTTTGGTCATTTGTGTTCGTCACATGATTCAAAAGAAGATAACATTTTAGCTCGTTTAGTAACTTTGATTCGACTAGCTCCACTGAACCCACCCAACAATTAAAGAAATCAGCATGGCCATCAGACAAATCAAGAGTGGCGAAGCAGCAGGACCAGACAACATTCCAGCACAGGCACTGAAAGCAGACATAGCGGCAACCGCAAGGATTCTCCACATTCTCTCCAATAAGATTTGGGATGAGGAACAAGTACCAACAGACTGGAAAGAAAAAGGACTCCTGATCAAAATACCGAAGAAAGGCGATCTCAGCAAGTGTGGTAACTACAGGGGCATCACTATTCTCTCAATACCAGGAAAAGTCTTCAACAGGGTATTGTTAAACAGGATGAAGGACTGCGTAGACGCCCAACTTCGTGACCAACAGGCAGGATTCCGTAAGGATGGATCGTGTACAGACCAACTCCCAACTCCACGGATCATTGTGGAACAATCTATTGAATGGAATTCATCACTACATCAAATTCATTAACTAAGAAAAAGCATTTGACAACGTGGACAGAACAACACTATGGAATCTTCTACGACACTACGGCGTGCCTCAGAAGATAGTCAATATCATGCAAAATTCATATAATGGATCACACTGCAAAATCGTGCATACAGGACAGTTGACAAAGTCGTTCGAAATAAAGACCGATGTCAGGCGAGGTTGCTTACTCTCACCCTTTCTACTTCTCCTGGTGATCGACTGGATCATGAAAACGTCAACGTCTGAAGGAAAGCGCGGGATACAATGGACATCTAGGATGCAGTTGGAAGATCTGGACTTCGCAAATCATCTGGCCTTTCTATCCCCAACGCAACAACAAATGCAGGAGAAGACGACCAGTGTAGCAGCAGCCTCAGCAACAGTAGGTCTCAATATACACAAAGGGAAAAGTAAGATTCTCCGATACAACACAGCATGCATCAATCCAATCACAATTGACGGAGAAGATTTGGAAGATGTACAAACCTTTACGTATCTGGGCAGCATCATTGATGAACATGGTGGATCTGATGCAGATGTGAAGGCGCGGATCGGCAAAGCAAGAGCAGCATATTTGCAACTGAGGAACATCTGGAACTCAAAGCAACTGTCAACCAACACCAAGGTCAGGAGTTTCAATACAAATGTCAAGACAGTTCTACTGTATGGGGCAGAAACCTGGAGAACTACAAAAGCCATCATCCAGAAAATACAGGTGTTTATTAACAATTGTCTACGCAAAATACTTCAGATCCATTGGCCGGACACTATTAGCAACAACCTACTGTGGGAGAGAACAAACCAGATCCCAGTGGAGGAAGAAATCAGGAAGAAGCGCTGGAAGTAGATAGGACACATATTGAGGAAAGCATCCAACTGTGTCACAACGCAAGCTCTCACATGGAATCATCAAGGCGAAAGGAAAAGTGGAAGACCAAAGAACACATTACGCCGGGAAATGGAGATAGACATGAGAAAAGTGAACAAGAATTGGATGGAATTAGAAAAGAAGGCCCAGGACAGAGTGGGTTGGAGAATGCTGGTCGGAGGCCTATGCTCCATTAGGAGTAACAGGCGTGAGTAAGTAATAACTTTGATAATTAAAATCCAGCACATGGATAAGAACTTCAGAAATCTTGGCAAACCCACTTCACTTTCAGTAAAGAAACTAGGAAGATAGCTAAAAGATAATTTGTACGTGCCATCGACTGGAACACCAGTAAGAGCATAGATGAAAAAACTAATTCATGCCTCAAAGCAGACATTAAGTGACTATCATCAAAACCATTAGATTACTAGTTCGAACTTATGTCCACTCCATTTGCTTTCTGGAGTTTAGTAATATCAACTCTCAAATGTGTGATGTGGCACAAAACCAGATCTATCAACGTGTACCTAGTACCCCCAATACCGAGTCAGTTTACAGTTAGTGTTGAAATCATGAACTGATCTAGGTTATACAATCTTTGAAAACCTGGAAGTACCGGATGGTCGTTTCGTCCTGGTCTGGGTCTCATCAAAAGTGCGCACCCACCGCTCCACACGCAAGATTCTGACCCAGGGCTTTCGGTCTCGTACGAACGCTTAGTCTCTAGACCACTGAGTTGGCATCCGACAGTTTTAACATCTAACCCCAATCAATCCACGATATTGCACGACCATCTTCTATTGCCTTCGAAGGATAACTGCCTCGCATCTGATAAGGTTAAGCTCCAATGGTCACGGCTTCTTACTGGAACTCTGTGAATTACCTCTCAAAGCTAGTCACTAGTGAGCATACGATAATTTTCAGTTCGAGATTGTGTAGATTGTTTAATTTTATTGAAATCATGAACCGATTATTGTTAGACTACCATTAGTTTAAGCATTTGCTCGAGACCGGAGGTCCAAAAGTTCGAATCCCGCATGTGAGACCGTGGATGAGTACTACCGAGGATTCCCATGCCAGGACGAAACGGCCATTCAGTGCTTCCTGGTTTTCAGTAGTGGTATAACTTGGGTTGGTTCGTGATTTCAACAAAATCCGACATTCTACACAACTAAATATCTAGAGCAAGAGATATTTCACCATATCTTTGGACAAGAGCTTCTGAGTTCTTAACCGCTCAACTTTCGTCCCAGTTGATCTTAATCGGAGTGGTCAAGTCATACAAATTTCTTCCCTTGCCCATCAGTCAGTTGAATATTTGAATACATGTTATTATGACTGATCACCATATTGCTGTTATGAGCCAACATTTCTTACTATCGTGTCTAAATAAACCTCATATTTCTCTCAACAAAAACCGTTCCAACCCATTTAGACAGACTAATAATTGAAAAAACACTTCATATCGTTTCCGCTTTGATCTTTGTCATAATTTTGGAAGCGTGGGATATATTTGGTGGCCCTGTATCTGACTCCAGGTAGATCGATTCTGATTGCTATCGAAACACATTTCATCTAATCTTCGTATTGAATTATCGACCTAAATACCGTAAGCGGATGACGGAATTAGGTAAGTCAAGTACGAGAATGAGGTTAGAAAACCTGTATTTCGTATGATCTGTGATCGGAAAGCGAAGCAAAATGAAACGACCCGCAATGAGGAATGAGAGTGGACCAACTCAATTTAGTCAAGCGCGAATCGATATTTGTAGTCGAACAAAGGTTATAGACGTATGATGAGTAAGATGAAAAATGCACACACATACGCTCACACAAAAACAGACAAGGTTGGTAAGCAAATAGTTAACAAGGCCAAAATATGCCTTGAGAAGTGTGAATAGATTGATCTGTCCGGAGGCTTGAATAATATATGTGGGCTTGACATAGTATCAGCCACCACCTATATACTGGAATTTCGTAGAAGTTCGAAGTTCAAGCAGAGAATCATTTATTTATTATTTGACTGCTAACTTCCTCACAGATCATTGTCATTAAGCACTATCCGCTTTAATGCGTGGATGCAACTTCTTTCATTCTTGACCTGGAACCAAAACTGTAATTTAGTGTACAACACACTTATTGATGTATTATTTCTGAATATTTGAATAACATCAAAACAGTCTAGATGAAGAGACTTTAAGCATTCTAGATGTTATTTTTCAATAAAAGATATTATACGTGAAGGTCTGGTGTTCATTGCGATTGTACAAACTTTTGGCTTGAAGGCGATTGGAAATTCAAAGAAACA